CGTCAGTGCTCTTCTGAAAGATTTAAATGTTCTGAAATGTCTTCAGGCGGTCTAAAAACGGCTTTTCAGTTTAAGTCTCATGTCTCATGGTTGAGAGTGCCTTATTTGCCTTTCAAATTTAATTATGTCTAAATTACCCTATTCTAGCTGCTCTGTGACAGAATGTGTATAGTGTAGTTACACAGGTTGTCTTGTCTCATTTGTCAGTGGGTACTTTTTTTTTTGCCTGGGTGGACAGTAATGTGCAGCATAACAGTTTAACACAGCACAGAACAGTAAGATACTATCATCCTGAGGTACAGTTGTAAAGAAGCTGAGTACAGTATGATATTAAAGCCACTATGTGCAGGATTTTAATAATGATAGCATTTGGAATATTATTAAGTAGCTCATGTTTTGACAATTGTCGCAGTCAATACGTCATACAATTTTCAAATACTACTGATAGTAGCTTCCTGAGTGCTACCAGTTTGCCCCCTTCCTAAAACACTATTGGGCTACTGCAACACAAATGTGCTGATTGACTTTAGCTGAATGTCTACACCACTGTCTCATGAATTAGTCCTCGCTTTAAAAACAAAAAACATTTATTACATCATGCTAATGTTATATTTGTCAGAGGAGCTCAACTGAAGTCAATTTTAGGTTAAAGTAGTATTAATTAATTACCAGTAACATTGTAGTTACTCTAGCTCACAGAATGTTAAGTCAATGCATGACTGGGTGAATGATTTGTTAAGTACCTTTGTGTAGACTTAGATTTTAAATGTAGGACTTGGACATTTAATGGTGTATATTGTATAGCTGTATGGGTGAGGCAACACAATTCTTATATTTCTTCTATCCCACTCACTTTGAAAAGGTTCCATGTGGAGTGGCCAGCAATTGAACTCCAGTAACCTACAATTAATGTGTTAATGATAAAAAACAAGCAAATGTTGGTTGTAAGGACTTATATAAATGATTTAAACATTTGTCAAAAGATAATTTTCATTACATTCTGATTGAAAATAATTAATTTGGTCTATTTCTTTGAGACTGTTTACAGAAGACGTACATCAATCCTGCTCTCCCCAGGTTTTGTGGAGTTTACAGTAAATGTACAAAGATGAAACAGTGAATGTAAGATGTTATCAATGTTAATATAGATTTCACCAGCCAAACCACAGCTAAATAAATTACATGTAATCTGGAAAAGTATTTCAAGTTAATTAATGTGTCAGTAAAACTACTGCGGCTCCACGTTTTTGTCAAGAGCAGCAGTCTCTAAAAAACGCCCTTTGTCTTTCCCGTCATGTTCACTAATGGCAGGCCTGTTTCTAGCATGAGCCATCGGGGTAATACCATGACAGAGAGGCTGTAAATTGTTCTGCTTGTTATCCTACGGCAACTGAAATCCTGCCACGCAGTCGGAGCTCAGATTGGTGAGTGGGAGCTCCTTAGGCTGCGAGAAACATTGTTAGGAGACTTCTTGTCCACACATACACACACACACACCAGCACACACTCTCCTCGAGGCCCTGCAGCAGCTGGGACCTGCAATGACTTTCCTCTGGCTTGGGCTGAAAATAATGCACCTCTGTCCATCACTAGGCTAAATAGGATTGTGACTGTGAAGCAGAAGCTTGGGGGTCTAGTATTATGTTAAAGGTGGAGTAAGTTTAATACACTTTCTGTCAAATTCAGTGAAGATCTCATCATGGTGCGCTCACTATCCGTCCTGCGTGCTTGCCAAAAACAACCCCTTCGTGGCTTTTGTACACAGCCGTGGCTTTTTAATGGGAAACAAACAAAGTGGCTTTGACACACAGCTCTCAGCAACAGAGGTGTTCATGCAGACGAGGTTCGGGTGAAGTTTAGGTTGAAGTTTTTAATGTAATTGATCTGGTCTGCAGACTGCATCCGTGTCACAAAGGGAAAAAATGGCAGAAGAACAGCCAACCAGGAGAAAAGAAACTGTTTGCCATTGGTGGACAATATGGTTAGACTGGGAAATAATTTCTGTCCTCCACTGGGACTACACAGTGAGGGTGCAGCTAAAAAGACTGACATGGATTGTGATAACTTTTAAAACTTGGTGGAGAGACCTCTTGAGAGTTGAAATGTGTTGAAGATAGAAGTAGAGCTTCCTCTGTTTCTGCCTGGCAAGCTGGTAACATGTTTTCTATGTTTGATAGACCCAATAGATTTATATCATTTTTTCATGTTTTCTATAGGGTGTATTTGTTTTGCTGTTGTGTTCAATTATCAAGTATTTCTCCTAGATTGTTCACTATACCTTTATTCCATGTTATTAAAAGGTAACAGATAGATTTTCGTGAACATGCAGTCTGGTCCTGTGGTCCCAAATAGAAGTATTTAAGATTTAAGAGAGTGATAGCGTATCATATTGTAATAATGATATACACCGGAGTAAACTGACATTTAAAAAGAACCCAATGATACAGCATAAGTTAATGGTCAAATGGTAAACATTTGATCAGTCACAAGACTCTGTACTGAAGTTCTGTGCACAGCTTGCAAAGTTGTGTGCATGCATATTGTCGGTCTGCACCCACAGTAACTTTTAAACCACTTCCAGGACAGGGGACACAAATATATGAAAAGAAGAAAGTGAATCATCCGTCTCTGGAGGCACAGACTTAGCTGTCTGGTCCCTATTAGTTGCTTCGTCTCTCGCCAGATAAGAGACATGAAAATCTCTGCGAGTCGACCCAGCCTCCAGCTTGTACATGATGGACTCCATTTTTCTTCTGGGCTGCCACCAAACCTTGCCTCCCCACCCCCACCACCACCATTATTCACAAGGCTGCTTTTATAACAAATCGCTGCAGATTCCAGAGGCAGACCTGCATCCGCCCCAGCCAGCATCTCTACATCGTCACGATACATCCCTCAGCGTGTTAGGAGAAGAGCAATGTGTGTACGTGTGGGTGTGTGATTTGGCCCAAGCTAAAAAAATAAAGAGAGAGAAAGATAGCACAAAAGATGGATGAAGCCTGGTTGACATACATCCTGACACCTCCACAAAATAAAACATCGACCATTCGACTCACAAGAGCCAAGAGACAGAATAATGTTTTTTTTTTTTTCCTCTTCTGTTTCTGCTTCCCTTTTTTCCTGCTGCTGCCAATACAATCCAATTTTTGACACACTAAATGCAGCAACAATCATTTCTCCTTTCCATGGGCACACACAGACGTACATAAATGTAGCCCATTATGTGCTGATAAAATACAGTGGGACACCAACTAACCAAAGCAAAAGCCTTTGACCTCGTGTGGCTTGCAGAGTGGGATAGCTGCCTGGATATGAGAAAATCAATATTCTGCATTTAACAGTGGAGGACCCTATGTTAAATGGAGCAACGTACCACTAAGACTGTTTGTTCTGCAATGAGAAACACATTGAAGTGAAAATGCACCTTGGGCCAGGGTGATTAAAATAAAGATAATGCATTTAACAGAATGAGCTCCGATTAAATCCTTGGAGGGTTTTATTTGAGGACAGAGATTGGCTATTTAATAATATTTAATTCGGGACCCTGCTCTGCATCCAGTCTTTTAAAATCTTCCACACTTTTATTTTCCTCTTTAATGGAATTTGAAATTGGAGACATCAAAGTTCTGCTTCTCTGAGTTAATCTTAAAGGACAACTCAAAGGTCAGTCAAAACACTTCATTTCACCCTTCACAAAACTCTTAACTAACAGGAAGTGATCTTTAGAGTTTCAAACGGTGCAGAAAATGAGCATAAATGACTCTTAACAGCTCATGCACCATAATCCAGCTGTTCTCCATCCTCAAAGATATAGATTTTACCTCGTTTCACCCCTTAAATCTACTGGAATGGCCAGCCAGCAGCAAACACACTGCACTCAGGTGCTGTTCAAAGACTTGTATCTTTGACTTTGAGAGGAAAAAAAAACCTTCAATGTATATTCAAGTGCTGTTTAATTCGTTGCACTCACTTAAGCGGTTTGCAGTAGTGTTTTTGGCGCATGAACTCCTCATAACTCGGTTAAAATTTCCAAGATATTTAGAATTTATGAGCAGTTTACTAGAGACCTACCTGAAGTAACCAGTCCTGCTGATTCTACTGTGCTGTCATTGTGTAGGATGCAAATTGTGATGCAGTAGAATTGCATTCATCTTCATTAATATAAATGGAGTGGAGGGAGTAATTCAAATTCTATCACTTAACAAACATTTCCAGATTTAATTCATTTCTATTACTTATTTGTTTTATTAATATGTATTTCAAATACATACAGACCAGCTGCTACAGTATGGTTAGGGTGTGGTTGAAGAAGAGGAGACGCTGTTTGTGGCTATTGTCTTTTTTTTTAATCAAACAATTAATTAAACATTTAACATCAGAGCAGCTATATTTTTGGGGTAATTTATTTTTCTCTTTAGTTTAAAGTCCCCCACCGGTACACGTCAAGTTTTAAAACGTGTTAACATGTCCCTCTTGTGCCTTTTATATGATTAAAGAAATATGTTGAGCTAAATAAGCAGTCAGTGCCCTGGCGTAGTTTTCCACTGCAGGAAATCCATGATATTTGCCTGCGTTCATGTCTGTGTGACTGTGCTCTAACAGTGTAGTAAACAAAAGCCAGTTTGAAAAAATAAGAATTGGAACAGCCAGTGTATGTGGTGTCTCAAACCTAAGAAATGGTGTGGGAAGATGGGGGGCAGGGTGGGACCATAACAGCACATTTATAGATTCCAGGCAAGATGTGGAAGGGAGGTGTAGCGTTACACTTGAGCAATTTCATGGCCACGAGCTGAATATATTTCAGATCAAACCTTTTGAATATCGAATTTTGAGGAACAAATTTCAGAGGATGTAAGAAACATTTGGCTATTTATCCAGCAAACACAGAGTACAGCATCTGAGGTTGTGTTTCCTGTTGCCATATAAATTTAAATCCCATATGACAGTTCTAGCTCATTAGTCACTAAATATTGAATAGTGCAAGTTTGCTCGTAACTTACTTTTGTCCTTGATTAGTGTAGTTGTTGTCATACGATTCGTATCCCTGGTCATCATAAGCTGTTCCATAGCCATCGTCATATTCCTGCAGTATCAGAAACAAAATGCAAACAGTAAGGTGAGGGAGAGAAGGAAAACTGCTGGTAAACATTTCCACATTGAAGATAAGTTACAACGACCTCTGCATCATCACCAACATGTTGACATAAGGAGTGAAGAGGCTGAAAAGACGATGTAGAATGAGAGCTGCTTCGTGCTGTGGTGTTTGATATTCTATTGCGAGTTGTTGTTACAATCCATCATTGTCTTATCAGGTACTTTCGTTGTAACATAAATTGCAATGCAATGAAGCCTTCAATTTAGCACATATGTAGGTCAGACAGCTTCATGTGGGTACAGTGGAGCCTGTGCAGCAGCGTGACAGTGGAAGCTGCAGCCCTGCCCTTGTCTCTGTGTCAAATGACTGACAGTGGGATGTAAAGACTCTCGCTGTGGCTACGTTTCATCATCACCTCAAAGGATGAGCCTTGAACATCTGTTTGTGCTGCAGCAATCTGCCCCGCCACCCCCATCTGCACCCCACCCAGGCCCCCGCCAAGACGAACATCAAAGGAAACCAGTGCCGCACCCGTCCTAATTTGGGATAAATGGGACTTATGTTCCACAAAAGGCGTCGACCCCTTGCGACACATCTCTCATCCCCCCACACACGTCCTGGCTAATTCCATCTGCCCCTGATTTGCATGCTAGAAATGAATGTCTGCAAGATTCAGCAGCAGAAGAAAGTGTTCATCACATCCATATTATTATTAAGGCCCTAAATCCTGATTAGAAACATGCATTTGGCAAATGACAGCATTTGAATTGACTCTTTTATCTTTAATCCTCCAGTAACGAAGTGCATGTGACGGAACTCTCATCAAAGAGTCATGCATAGTCATAGTGTTAGGTTTGGTGCAACAGTTGCTTTACAGTGTCTTATGGAGGGTCTGGCAGGTGCATTTTAGGAATGTGTTTATATAGAAAACATTTTCCATGGTCATCCAAGATTTGGGTGGCTTTCAGGGATTGTTTAAGGTGATTGTTTGTGTGTGAGTGGGAGCTCTGTTGGTTTTTATGGAGGTTCTTTGTCGGCTCTGTTCTATTTGTCTAGTTGCAGCTCAAAGGGAATTCAAGTCCCTCCTGGCATTCGTGGTTCTGCAGCTACAAGAGCTTTTGCAAAGTCAACAATTCCCCATGCTAATGCAAGGACTAAGTTTAGTCAACCACTGTACTTTTGGCAATATTAAACCCTCTGAAAAACAATGAGGCCAGCAGTTCTCAAAAAGCAGTACATTTTATGTCAACGTTGATTCGGTTAAAAGCACTTTTCAACAGGCTATACACTTAAATTTGTACTTTTTCACCATGACCCTTTTCTGCTGGCTTAAAGACAAAAAACTAAATACTTGACCTTGCAATTTTGAAACATGTCTTGTCAAAGAAAATCTCAAAACTGACATATTAATAAATAACAAATATGGTAAAGTGGACTGTGGCTTTGATTTCTGTGGGGATTGGGCTTGAAAAGGCAATCTCAGAAAGAATAGACGGGGGGTGATCAGATTCTTGAAATTTGGGAGAATCTGTAGTTCTGTTTGTAGTTCTTGAATAAAAAAGAAATAAGAAACATGTTATCATTACTTAATAATTATTAAGCTTCTGTATTATAAATACTGCAATTGTGGAGAGATTTATTCAACTTGCTCATGATTTTTAGGCCCTTTGTTTTGCTTCACACTTTATTGTACAGAATTTTTACAGTTATTTCTCCCATGTATTATTATTTGATTATCATCTTACCCTCTTTAAAATTAACCTGTTTTTGAGCCATCCACAAGCGGTGCTTCATTCCTTATCATTGTACTGTCAGAAGAACAAATGTTCAAGGTTCAAGGTCATAGAAACTAAAATAATTTGTTCCTGTGCTTCAAAGACAAATTCATATCAATAACTTAAAGTCCTGTGTCAACCTCACAAACAATAAAACATTCTGTAGCCAACCAGGGAATTTCTTTACAAAAACTACTCCTGTCATTTTATAGCCTAAATCTTTTTAGCTAATGATTTCCCAACAGAAGCTCGGCCTCACATCACACCCGATACCGCGTTACCCCTTCAGTCCAGTCAGATCCACTTGGAAATTGGACGTAATGACACACAGACCTGAGTAAAACACAGACGGCAGTGAAACAAGACCCTGCCTGACACAATTAGACCGGCTAGAATTTAGATCTGGCCTGACTTGTCAACCTCGAGTAGACATGTTAAGACCTCTACCGACAAGTGCTGATACTGATAAACACAGTGATGAACAAATCCAAACGTTATTTATGCCAGAAAACAGATGTGAAATCATTAGAGGGATCTGCCCAATATATATTTATAATCATCAGTTTTATTCAGATCTGACACAAGAACCAGACCCGACTATGAATATGTATGAGATTATTATCAGACCAAAGAGACTGATGATACTGTACTTTGTGGACTAAGTCATTGAACCCTGTTTTCTCATTAGTTTGCAAGACATCTTGATCTGTATTCTAGCCGTGGCTCTCACATAGTTTTAGTGGTGGTTTATTACACTACAAAGGTCAGGGTACAGAAAAACAACTGCAACCAACAATTCAGATGCTTTTCCTCACACACACTTCTTATGGAGACAGCTGTATTTTATATGTGAAGTGTTAATACTTTAGCATTTGAAAGTGGTTAGAAAAAATACAATGTGGCTCAAAGTCACAACTCGAGTCTTTGAAGCTGAAACTTCAGAAAGAGCTTTGAGTAAAAGGCACCGACTGAAGTTTTCTGTGTCGCTGGAAATGTCAGCACAGCTCAAATTGAAATCAAGCCTGTGTTGTCATCAGACGCGTGCCAATTATTGTCCAAAAAATTCCACTTGTTTTAGATCAATCTGTTTTAAAGGTGTCTCTATTATACAGTACCTACTGCAGCCTGGAATAAACAAGCATGGTTATGAATACTGAATGATCTCAGTGGCACAGCAAGTGAAACCATGTAGCTGAGGTTGTAAAGGCAGCCGGGATGTCAAGTAAGATGCTGCCTCTGAGCTCAAAAACATGAATACAGTCAGAACCTGTACAAGACGACAAAGTCAACTGTCTCCGCCAGTTACTACACACTGACCACAGACTTTTTCTTTGGCGAGGTCCAAACGATACATGCGCTAGACTCATCATTTCACCCTGTTTTTAAAGCATCAAAAAAATAATTAGAACCAAACCTCCTGAAATTTAGACTTGAACATACATCCATGTGATAACAGTTTCTGCAGATTTAAAAAAGAAAGGTCTAATAATTTTAAGACCCATTTAAGACCAATATGAATGCAATTTCAGACCTGTGTCAAGTACGACATACTTAATTACTTACACTTCCCAATAATTGAAGATAAGGCGAAATAGTCTAGTGGAGAATAATCCTCGTAACAAAATGATGTCTTGCAAACTACAGGCAGAGACTGACCAGGTTGTTTGCTGGTAGTTATCAGTTCCACGTTTGTCTTGTTTGTAGTTTTAACTACAGAGGTATAGCGTAACTATATTATATATACCATCATAATATTAATATATTAATATAATAGGGCCTACATTTTTAATTTTTTTTTATGAAGCTGATCACACTATCTTTTAAAAAGTGGCCTGGGTCAGACTCCAATGTGAGCTGGTCATTGCCCTGATTTCACAGGCACAGAAGGACAACAAGACATCACACGCAGCGCGGTAATAAACATGGAGGCCACAGATGTGAGCGTTAACGGCTTGATTTATCTCTTGATATGCACTCAAACACAGACCAGTTACGACAGGACCCCTCAAGTGTTTCTTGTAAAGATGTGTCACGGTCTAAAACCTCCCTGTCCCTCGACTGACTACCTCTGTTGCTGTAAGAGCCACTTAGTAACCTGCACTGGCGTGTGACTAAATGTTAATGTTGGTATGACATGTTACTTATGTTTTAAAGTTATTCAAGTTTATACAACAGTTATTTTGTATTTGCTAATATTTATTTATATTCTGCTTTAGTTGCTTATTTACAGCTAATTGTTTACGACAGTTGAAAATGCTGTAGTGTAGTTTAGTGCGGGTGCAAAGCTAGATATGTTAGACCGCATGGATATGGTAAAAGTGTGTGAAGTCTGACTCTAACAATGCACATTAAACAGATATTCAGGCTTAATGTATCACCGAGTCTGTAATGGACCGAGATGTGGTGTGTTGATAACTCTCTGGTTGAAGTGTGTTTATATTGGGTTTGCACAACAAGGTCAGACATATTACAGTTGGACATGAGTCAAACCTAGTAGTCACTCTGTTGGCTTACATTAAATGGCCTATTGGAACATGGAACGAGGTAAAGCGGCCACTACATTTGCAGCTGTCTTCCATGTTTGCTTTCGCCGGGTGACTCCCGCCCGCCCCTTTGCCTGCGCATGATTATGAGAAATGTTGATGTAGAGCTACTTAAAATTCCCAATGAATTCCGATACAAGTCACATGGCTGTTCAGACTGAGGTTGCATTTCAAAATATCTGATCTGTATCTGATTTAAAACCACATGTGAAAGTGGCCCTAATCAAATCATCTGTTCACAGTCATTAAACAATCAGATCTGGGTCACATCGGGGGGAAACATCAGATTTGGGCAGTATGAGCCGCCCGCTGTGGGAACGTACTCTTAGTTTAGTCCATGTCCCATCCACTAACATGGACTTATCATCTAAACTGTAGCCAGCCATCAGGTGTTGATCAAGACACTTTGGCTTCACTTTTGGGGAGCAGTCATACAGTCCATCTTTATATATTCTCGATGGCGGTTACAATTTTCATTTATATTCATTAATAATAAGAACTTAATAAAACCACTTATTTGACCTTTCTATAGGTGCATGGTATTCATAGACAACTGGTGTCAAAAGATAGAAACTTAATAAATACAGTCCACAATCTTTGCATCATGAAGAGCAATGACAAATAAAACTGTTTTATGATCTTAAACCAAACTAACACAGTATATAAGCCT